CAGACAGCCCAAATCGCTCTGGGAAGGGTCAGCACAATCCAGACAGGCTGAGCAGCAACATCTCAGGAGGTGCAGACAAGAACCCCAGAGGTCAATGGAGCTGAAGGTGAAGGTGAGGAAATATCAGCTGCAGTCAAAGGTGTAGAGATGCTGTGAGTCCCAGAGCAGGGCTTGAGAGAAAAGTCCAGCGGGGGAGAGAGCTCAGTTGGGAAGGCAGAGATCACCACCTTGCTCTTGTGTGATACCAGGCTGCACGAGGGTTAGGGAACAGCTCATCTGTGTTGTGAAACTACCACTCAAGTTCCAGAACAGGGTCCATGTCAGTAATCTTTCCATTCGTAGTCCAACTGTGTTGTCTTTGGCTTTGGATCATGATGGAAAACCACTGGAGGAACACCAAGTTCTGTTGTCAGTTCCCATCTTTTCTGTATTCTGTTAATGTGCCCAAACTGATCTGTAGGCACTGTTCCACCTTTCAGTTGCCATGTCAAACTCTGAATTGACTTTGGAAGTTTGAATACTTCCATTAAGTTGTCTGTCAGCTCCTGCTGACAGAGAAAAGTACATAAGCTGCTGTCAGTGGTCTGTTCCCCTCCATTCTCCTATTAGGTATCAAATAGCAAATCAAATGTGTATGAACTCACCCTTCTGGAAAAGTATTTAATGTTTACTAAGGTGTAAGAGAAGAAATGTAGGCCAATCACAACAAGGAAGCACATGGAGAGGGTAAAAAGGGTAACACAGATACTTCCCAGGTAATAATAATTTCAAAACCCAATCATCCAAACAAACAAACACAAAGACAATACAGAAACTATGTTTAAAATCCAGGCATAATGAAAAACCTTAGCTAAAGTAAATTGACTCCCCCAGAGTACATGTGTCAAATGTTTCCTCCCGGCCCCTTCCACTCAACTGCCTGATTCCTTCTCCCTCTGAAGGGTATGAAATATTTGTGTCTCAATCTGCTGGCCTCCAAGGACCCCTGATATGTTTGCTCTCATGGTGCTTAGTCTGTGCTTTTGAACCTCTCTTACAAGGCAATTATGCTTTTCTGGAATGACCAACCATATTTCTGAGCCTCAGCCTGAAAAAGGACATTTCAGTCTAAAAACGGACTTCAGGATATTTTTTGTGGTGCCATCTGAAGGGGATGAAAAAGTCAATGTGTCATTTTCTTTATTAGATTCCTATAATGGAACTGTAACATAACCAACCTATAATGTGACCCAGCTCATCTTTCAGCTTTGTAGTCTGCAGGCCCCCTAAGGGACCTGTACTGGCCACTGTAGGAAAAAGGGACCTTCCCTTTGTATTGAAAGGAAAATCCCATTGCTGAGGGATCAGCATGCTCACATGTGATCATCCATGCTCACATAGTGAATACAGAAATCACATTAGAAACTTAGGAATTTTACTGTAGTAATTTCACCCACAAACACTGCTACTCATTAATCCATTTGGTAAGAAGCAAGTTTATGGATGGAAATCTGGAAGCCAACTGGTATTGCATGGAATTTCTTCACTCCTTAGGTGTGCCCACACCTTAGAGAAGCCAAAGATAAGTCTCAGCTAAAAGTGCTATTTTTTATGACAGAAGGATTCAAGGAGTGTTCACCCATCCAAGTTTTCCTGTTTCTCCAGTCTTAGAGAGTGCCAGCTCCTCTGCATTGACTATCCAGAGAATTTAGCCATTGTTTTAGTTGTTACCATGAAGTATTAGATGGCTGGCTGGAGTTCTCCCACTGCCAGCAGAAGCAAGAACAGGGAATGAACACTCCCAACACAGAGAAATCGTTGATAAAAGGTTCAGTAACACAACCCAGTGGTGCTGTCCTGCCAGGGAACAACTCTACAGCAAATGGGAAGCAGTTTGTTGCATGAAAATCTTACTCAGCATCCCAGGAAATTCCCCACAGGAATGGGCAATGATATAAATCCTTCAGCCTGGCAAGAGAGATTAGCAGTGTGCTGGAATTAAAGATAACACAAAGCACCATCTGGAGTAAATAGTTTTAAATATCATGTCTGATTATCTTTGAGGGAAAAGTTTGTGTGGTTTGTTCAGGGGCAAATCTGAGCCTTTCAAAGATGACACGTGTAATTAAGCACATTTTAACTCATCTAAAGTGATAAGCAAAGTAATTATTCAGATTGTTATGAAGGTAGCAAAGGGATTTTTGGTAACTACTGCTTGGTTACAGCACATTCTGTGCAGTCAAATTTCGAGTGTTTCAGTCTTAGGGTGATGAAATCCCAGAAAGCTTTTATATGAAATAAAAGGGAATAAGTGCCTTTTTGGCTACGTATTTCTTCTTATCTGTGTCATACCTTGTTGGAGAGGAAAAAAAGTACAGCTGGCCTTCCTCTCTTCTGCTGTGGAGGAACAATCTATAGGCCTGGATGTGAAAGCATTTAATCCTGACTAGAAAAGAGAAGAGCTGACATGACAGTGAATGTTACAAAATCCAACTATTTTCCTGTTAATCTAATGCTCTGAAAACTGTAAATACATGTACCTAAGGTCAGTCCTCTTTGAGCTGAAAATAAGATGCAGAATTTGAAAATGAGAAGTAAATTCAGCTACCTAAACTAAGAACCTTTTTCCACTTCCTTGATTTTTTCTAAAGATTTTGAGAAGACTTCTGCTGAAATACTTAGCTCTATGACTTTATTTTTTTTAAAGTAATTATTAAAATCTCCCAAGGTTTTTGGCATCCATATAAAATACTTCATTTAAATATAAAATGACTCTACTGGCATTTTCTACTTCATGACCATCCCATGGCTCCAGTCAGCATTGGATTGGATAGTTCATCAGTTTATCATCTAAAATGATGATGCTCTTGCCCAGGACTGGTATTTATTTGCTTTGGCTGCTCAACAGGAAAATATAAAAAGATATAGTCCGGATCACACTTAAAAATTGATAGAAGCTCATTAAAACTTTAGGGAAATTCTCCTTTATAAATAGCCCAGTAGGAATCAGGGAAAATAATAAATATTTCTAGCAATTTGTGGATGCAAAAAATTCTATGTGAATTGAGGTTGAATTTAGCAAGATGCTCTTTGGGGAAGAAATGTTTGACAGGAGATTCCCAGAATTGTAGACATGGAGGTGAAGCAGCATCCCAGCAGGGGCAAAGGATAAATCATTCCCCTGGCTGTGGGAAATCTGAGATATTTCCTTCCTCTGTCTCACAAATTGACACCTACTTTTCCTACTTGCTATTTCATAGCTTAATTACTGGACTAGAGGATACTTTAGAGTGATACATGGGTGTTGATGCTATTTTAAGTAAACAAGCATTGACTAATATTAATCTGAATTACAGCTTTCTTACCTCTTGCATGAATGCCACAATCCCTAAAAATAGGGTCAGTTTCTCACTGTCTTTTTCTCACTCTCAGTGAAAATGGAAAAGAGACTAAGAAAAGAATCACAGGAAATACAGTAATAGGATTTTTTTAAAAGTTTTTTACCTAAAGCTAGGTAAATAGATTTATTTTAACCTAACAATTTCTTGGCAAAAATCGTGTATTTAATAGGAAGTATTTGCTTGTGAAATTTTGAAGTTGGATTTTGCATAAGAACAGCAATAACTAGTAAGTTGTCAGGAATCCTATTCTCAAACCACCTTATTTTGGTAGCTGTGATAATATTTCCTTTCCTTGAGGTCTGATTTGCACAGCACACTATCCAGCTACAATTTCATAGGCTTTTGGTGAAGACTACTCATCATTAAGGTATTTTCCACTGGAATTCCAAATTTAAAGATGTATTTTACCAAACCTAAGTAAACACCACTAAATTAAACAAATCCTCTGTGCCAGCTGGAAATGCATGCAAGGCTTTCATTGGGGTTTTTTTGCCTTTAAAGAGTTTTTGCTCTCCCTGCCCCCTCAGAATCTTCTCAGAGTAGGTATTTTATCTGCATTATGGACAGAGTTCTGTTGTTCTCTGCTTTTTGTGCTGTTTGCAACCAGCAAATCCCACTATTCAAACTGTTGTGCTGAGTTGTTTATGTCTCATCTTGGCATAATGACAATTGAACACATCACAGGCATGGCTGAGCCAGAGCTTTGGAGTCCTGGAACAACACTGGCCTTGTGGCTGCCAAAACCCTCCTGCTCCCTGGAAACCTCCCTGAGCCCCACACTCAGGAGTGAGGTCGGTTTTGAACCCCTACAAGAGAAGAGTTATCTGCTCACTAAAGAGGAAGAACAACCCCCAAAGACATTTCTATTTAATAAAGAATCCTTTGTCTTTTTGTGTGTAAATGTTGTTTTGCTTTCTGTGTTAAGGTACTGCAGTCCAGAGTACAGGTAGGCTGGATGTGCCACCAAAAGGGCCCAGAAACATTAATAGAATATTATATTAGAATATTGTATAATAGACATTACTGGAAATGACATAACATGGAGCCATTTAAATTATCCACATCTTTGTTGATGGTGGAAGGGTGGCCATGTGGTACAAGGCTGCAGCCTAGGAAATTAAGATTCCCCTGTTTGTTCCTCAGCTGACCTGTTACTGTGACATACTTATTGCTTTTATCTCTTTGCCAACTCTGCAAAATCGTGTTTCAATGTCAAGGGGGTACCAGACACTAAATTAATGATAAACCTGGTTTTTATATTAAATACAGTAGAAAAGGTGAAGTTATAATGATTTTATTATCAGTATTAAAATCAGTTTAAAATATATAGACAATGAGATCTCTGAAATCCAGTGTTCCAATATATTTCATTTTCTGTACCTGTGAGGACTTAACTCTTAGAGATGTTGTTCGGTGTTGATCTCTACATGAAATCCCAGTTTGGATGGATTAAAAAGGTGTGTGGGGGAAAGAGGAGTAGAAAGGCCACGTGTACTGGGCGTGTGGATTTGCTGAGTTTGTGAAACACCAAAGACAAGAAGCAAAACGACAGTATGAGATCATTTGGGTATAATGTGGTTTCCTCCTAAGCTTTCTGTTTTGTTTTGCTTTATTTTGCAGTTTGCCCAGCTGGTGTCTGTCTACAAAACTTTGGGTCCCGAGAAGTTCCCTTTAATCGAGCAAACGTTCTACCCAAATCACAAGGAAATGGTAGGTGCAAATAGCAACACTAAATACACTTCCTGTCTGTGTAAAGCAGGAACTGTAACACACTGGTCCTTTTTCCCATTTACTGTCCATTTTAAAAGCCATGTGGAAAGCTTTCAGGGGGATGAGACTGAGTGACCACTTGAAAGCATTGTGATGGTGAGCTGGAGGATTCTCAGATGGGAAGGCAGTAATTTTTCAGCTAACCAGCTTCACATCTTGAAAAGATTAAATGCTGATAAAGACATGAACAACTGTTAAAGTGCAAGAGTTACTTCTCAGGTTTGTTTTCACCCCAGTCCTTTATGATATGTTCAAAGTGTTTATTGCCTTTGGAGATGATGCACAAGGCTGTGTGCTGATTAGTGTGGGGCTTTGAATTCACCTAAAGTCAGGGTGGTTTTTACTTGTGATCTTCATGTACCTGAGCCAACATTGATTCCCAGTCCCTTACAGACATAAATGCATTCTTAAAAATAACAGGAATGACCTTTACTCATGACCTGTGTTATGCTGCGGTCATTCTTTTCTTATTTTTCTTAGGATTTCTAATCAGAAATTCTTTCCTGAGTATATTTCTCGAGAGGAAACACTGAGAGAGACTAGAGAGAGGCTCTTTGCTGATTGAATAGCCTGGCAGAGAAGCATCAATTATTGTAGAATCTAATCCATTCAGTATACGTCCCACAGCTGGGATTCAAGTACTGCAGCAAGGTCAGGATATATCTGTGAGTCAGCTGTTTGTGCAAGGTCCCTAAGCTGTCATTGCTATGAGTCTGTCCTGAGACTCTGGCTGGACTTTGTTAGCATAGGTGGGACCTCAGGTAAGCCCCGGGAACAGCAGGTGACTGAGATCCCTTCTGAACTCTTCCTTCTTCCACAGCTGCCTCATCCTTGGGTAACAAACACAGTATGGAGCAGTTCTGCTGTAGTTTTTGCAAGAGTGCCAGGATGGCTCTTCATCCTGCTTTTCCAGTTCTCTCTGGTTCCTTTGGATTATGAATGCACAGATGTTTCTACTTCTCTTGTCATATATGACACTTCTGAGAGGAGATTTCACCACAGTGAGGTGGCACACAGAGGTTTCATAGAACCAAAGGTACTGATTTGGAGCAGCAGGTCTAAATGTTGTCCCAGACGGTCAGATCTTTCCAGAGGGAAAGGGGGTTCTGTTGATGGATCTGTCAGGAAAATATACAATGCACAGGAAGTGTTTTTTGCCTTAAGCGTTCCTTCGTGACTGGTAGAGAGGCAGAACCACATCTCATTTTGCAAGATGCTTTTTTAAATAGTGATAAGTTTTTAGATCTGTTTTCCTAAGAATATCTAAGATATTCTTATCTGGTTTGTCATTTCCTGCTTGCAGTTTATTGTTCTTTCTTCGTTATTTTATCGTCTATTCAGGCCCCCCAGGGAACTGGCCATGGCATCTCACCAAGCCTGTCAGAATTCAAGGAGCATCTGGATGGTGCTCTTGGGTATATGGTTTAGTTGTAGGCAGTCCTGTGGGACTCCATGACCCTTAACTGGAGATAGTCTATGATTTTATTGAAAAAGCAAGTCTTTTGAATGTATTACTAAATTGCAGTACATAGAAACAAAGAACATATCCTATAATTTTGGGGCAAGAATTAATGTTTTAGATTTATAAGTTTATATGGCATATTTTGCTGTGGAGTATAACAACTGTGTCAGTGGTTCCCCCCGCTTTGTTCCCCTATATGCTCATTAAAGTCTAAGCTGCTAAGTTATTTGCCTTTTGTTTGAACTTTTGAATGTTGTTCTCCATAGCTAAGTAATCTTCTTTACATATTTTATGTAATGAATGTTAATCTAGAGAAAATTAACACGTTTGGGTATCACATTGCCATATGTGGCTTACAAGTGCTGCAATAACTGACTCATGGGGCTCATTTCTTTGGTTTTATTCCTTCTGAAGAAAGGATTTGGAACTCTGTGGCTTGGGAAATAATCAGGCAACATGGTACAAGATAACACTGTGTTCAGATTTCTAGAATGGGTTCTAAGATGGTCTGGATACCAGTCTTCTGTTGCTGAACTGAAAACATATCATGCTATTTATTTTTTGTTTCATTTTTTTGAACCCTTTAATAACAGCTGGCCTCATTTGCTTATACAGAATTCGGAAATTATGGTTTAAAATATTTTTTCTGTAGTTCCTCTTGTGTTTGCTCCTTCCTTTCTTATTCCTTAAGGGGAAACCTTAGGGAGCTCTCCCTCCCCTGCAGTGCAAACCAGCCCAGGGGCAATGGGGGAGCAGGAGAAAGCCTCAAGACTCTGGGAATGGAGGGCTCAGCAGAGTGTGCCAGAGGTGTGCCTGTGTTGGGCTTTCCTCTGCTTCTTTCACACTCTGCTGATGGTTTGTGCTGAGTCTTTAGCCGGCAAAAAAAGGTAAATAAACAAAGATGCCATTCTTTTGTGTAAAAATGGAGCTGCTTTAATGAAACACTTTTTGAAACAGAAACATTCATTCCAGACTGATTATACAAAACGCTGTAAGGCTTTTGAACTCATTGGTAGTTGAGTCATATCTACAGCCTTTCCCTCAGTAATTAGTTCCCTTTATTTCACTATATTCCCACCTCTTATGTTCTCTGTCATGAAAAAAAAGACAACATGGCTTTTTCAACAGAATTGTTGAACAATTTAATTAAAACTTAACTGGAACATTGAGAAAAAGCCAGCAATATTCAAGGTGGTGTTTCTTCCCCATTGATCTGTACAATCTCCCTTCTCGCTTCTATTCCCTAATCTTATCATAAGTTGTGTGAGTCATTTTCAAATTAGAATCAAGTGTTGTGCCAGGCTATATTCCTGCTCTAACCTTTCATATAAACACATACGTTTTCAAGAAGTAAAAATAAAGTGTTGTAAAAATAATCCGCCGTGGATAATATATCAATGCCACTACAGTAAAAACCTTGATAGGAAAATAACATATTGATGATGCCACATCGTAGTCAAGCCTTTTCATAATCTTTCTCAGTGCTGAATCTCAGGGAAAATAAAAACTCGTTCTGAGAGGGGTTTTTGTAAAGCTTTGCTTGCCATATTTATTGACACGAGGGAGAAAAATAATCTTTGTGCCACCCGTCGTGGTGAGTTTGTTCAGATTTATGCTCAGCCAGAAATCAAAGTCGACAGCCACTAACTGTGAAACACCTCATGTGGGATATTTTATGGCAGGACAAATATAAAATGTGTTTAAATCTAATTATGGCATACAATTTGTATTACAGTCTGTTCATAAATATAAAAGAAAACCTTTACTTGTACAAGGCACACAAAGAAGACAATCTGTGTCGGGTGAGTTGAGTTTAAGGTTTAGTTACTCTAAAACTGAAAGAGAAACAGAACTATGTTGAGTTAAAAAGCAGAAAATATCTGTTTGCTGCAGAGTGCTGTCCAAAAGACAGCATCACATCAAAATGGATTTGGAAACAAATGCTACACTGGACATGTATTGAATAATAATCAGCCCTGTGCTTGACTCAGACACTGTGTGGTTATTAAGCTCTCATGGGCTTCTCTAGGAATTGTTCTGATTTCACATGAGGAAATAAGGCCTGGCTTTAAGTCTTTCTTTAAATTAGTAATATAAATGCACAGCACTGCCAATATTTTCACTGCAATATCAATTCTTTTTGGAAGAAGTGAAGCCGTTTTATTCTTTTTATTTCATTTATATAAGTAGCCATAGTAAATCTATGGTCCAAATGAATAGTGTTTGGTAATTTTAGTTTTGTCTTTATAAAAACATGATGTTTTAATTTAGGATTGTAAATTAAAATAACAAAACTGATTTACAGTGCATAAAAAGTGAAACATTGACTTTTATATATTATAGGACATATATTCCTGAAAGAAACAATGACATGCCTTCCTGTTGGCCTTGCACCATTTGCATTTCATTGGAAATGTATAAATTTAGCCCCAGAAAAAGAAAACAACGATATTTATTCTCAGAAGAGCGTTTTGAAACCTATCCTTTTAATATGCATTTGTGCAATAATCAAAATAAACATTAAAAAGGTGAAAATAGGTCACAAAAATAATTTGTGCATTGAGGTTTCTTTCAGGTCTCTGTTATTTATCCAGTGCATCATACCTTAGTGTGTTCTATGTTGCATGGGACTTGCTGAATTTCATGGCCAAACTACTACCTCGTTGAATTGAATGGCATGAGAGATGTCTGTGCACTTAAAGATGTGCACATATTATTTGCAAGTTCAAGTCCCAGTGGTTTTATTAGGAGTCTACAGCAAACAGATTTGAGGAACTATTTGGAAAACCCTTGAGCAATAATGTGGTGGCTCTGACTGAGCCCCCAGGCTGGGAATGTCACCCTGGGGTTAACAGGAACCGGTAAAGGATGTTAACCCTTTCAATAGACCTGATCCAACCAAATGAGAGCAGAACTGTCTAAATCTCTGCCTGTGTTCTAAAGTCTCATGTAAGGAATACTCAAGAGTAATTCTAGACAAAATTGGAATGAAGTGAAAGAAATCCAATATAGAAAATTGGGGAGAGTAAAATACATCAGACATGGCAGCTATTAGAGATTCCCACCCTGCCTGAGGGTTCTGCCCCAGTTTCTGGGACACAAGGAGCTGGACAACTGTCTGAACTTTGGCATTTACTGAAATAGTTTCTGAAGTTTCACTGCTGTGAATTTAATTACTTTTGTAAACTTAGATATGTGTGAGATTAGCTACTAGCTACAGGAATCAATTTAGAAAAGTTAAGGCATTAAAAAAATAAAAGGCAAAATGTGTCGTAACACTTCTCTAGTACAAGTTCACAAGCAGCCAAATTCACTGTGACAGACTACAATAGGTATTCATGAATGAAAAATCATTAAATATGATCAAATATTTGAAAGCTTTCAGAAATCACTTGCTGTGTAAGTGCAGTATCTATTGCAATGTTTTCACATGAGTTTCTAAAGCCAAGGCTTTTAACAGTGCTGGAATACAATGACCTGGTCACATATTGAGAGAGGCATTAGCAAGTGCTGCAGCTGCCCTGAGGGTGGACAAGTTTTCTGTAAATATGAGCAGTTTCAGCCTATCATCATTTGTGTTGGTTCCATGAAATGCTGAAGCATTAGAAGATCTGACTTTTCTTTCAGCAAGGTGTGGCTAGTTCATAGGAATGCTGAGTTGGGAAGAGGCTTTTGTATATCAAGGCTGTTTCTTAGCTTAGTTATCACTGAATGTTACAGCTCCATAGATAAAGAAAGCTGTGACATAAGGAATATACAAAATGTGGAGCACAGATTGTTTTAATCCCAGAAGTGTTCAACTTGTTTCAACAGGTAAGGAAATATTTGTGAATCTTTTTTTTAATAGCACATTGTTATAATACTTTACATATACACTGTACAATAATTCTTTTGCATCAAAGACTTTCATACAGAAAAAAAATAGTTCTATAAAACATTCCGTAGTTCAATGGAAAGATTTGGAATACAACACGGGGTGCTCTCAATCTGTAGGTTATCAAACGGGGGACAAATTCTGGCAACTCTTTTGTTCTTGTACATTCATATTGGCAAAGGGAACCTGTTATGCCTTGGAGGACACAGAGGAGCTTTCTCAGCTCAAGCCTCTGTGCAAAGCATAACAGCACAGAGTAGGTACCCCCAGGAGGTTTGTCCCTTGTCTTACGCCAGTGCCAGTCCCACAGACTGGGACTTTACTGTACAGGACAATTTGTTTGTGTTTCTAAGCAACAGATACATTAGACGATGGCAGTTCAAAGCTGGGAGCGGGCAGTGGTGGATGGAATGAGACTCCAAGGCTTTTTAGGAAGTGCTGGTTTTAAGGTTCGCTGATATCAATGAACTCTTTCTCGGGGGGGGGCCCACCTCGGTACCAGCTGCAGGTGCCATCACTCCTCTTGATGCAGGCGTAGTGCTTGGCTTGGTGCCCGTAGAGCTTCCTCTCGATCAGCCAGTCTGTCCAGAGGCACTCGTTGGGGGCAGTGATGGAGCAGGGCACCATGTAGCAGGTGGTTATCTGTGGGAAACAGTGCATTGCTTTAGCACCTCGCAGCTTTCCTTAAAATGCTGTTTATAAGAGAACAGTTCCCACCACTGCAAGCTGCTGGTGCCTGTCAGGTGGCTCCACCACAGGCACTGTTTTGTTCTGTACTCACCTTGCAGCCACAGCCCATTTGATATCTCTGATTCAGACTCTTCTTTTGAGACAAGGATAAATCATCCCATGGTTCAATGTAGTTGCACAAATGGATGAGGACTTTGCCATCGCTTAAAATTTGGCCTGCAGCATGGAAAACACAAAATATAAGCCAAACAATTAAAAGTGTTTTCTAAATACTAAAACAGAAGTGTAAGAATACCTCAAGTTTTTTACTAATTGCACCAGGTTAGTCATACTTAACATTTTTTAAAAATTAATTTAATCATAACAGAGAGAATATTCTTCTGACTGCATGCTGTATAAACGTAAAAGATTTAAGAAGGATATTTTTCAAAAGATACCAATAATCTGCCAGCAAGAGACGGATGCAAATGTTAAACAAGATTTTAAGACTCTATAGAAAAATCTGTAGTTCCTTAGTACGCCAGATCTGCACAGGCATAGCATGTGTTGTCTCATTAGGCATGTGTGCATTCCTGGGGAAATCAGTACTGTTGGTTTTAATCAAATAATAATGGCATAGTTCTTTCTATTTACTAATTATTACTGACCTTCGCTTCCTTTGGAACTACTTTAAGATTGTTGGATGAAGGATGGAAAACATGGAAGATCACACTATAACTACAGCTTAATGCAATTTGTACATCTCATTGTATTTGTGTTTAGTACATAGATACATTCCTTTTTAACAAGGGCTGGCATGTTTTAGCAAATTCAATCTAAGCAGTTACTTCTGGTTTTACAGGTACATTAGTTGTCACAGAATAGGCTGAGTTGGAAGGGCCCCATATTTTACCTGTCAGAAGATACTGTTTTTTGTTGTTGGCTTCTAATTTCACTCCACAGAGTGACGAATCAAAAGGGGTGTAGACATACTGGACATCCTTGAGCTTTTCAAATCCTTTAAACATCTAAAAATTAATAGAAACAGAAAGTCAGTTGTGGGGAAAAACCATGAAAAAACAGTTGCAAACAGCAGCTGAAAGAAATAGATGGTGAGTCTCTTTAAGGAAGGCTCCAAAGTCCAAAATTCTGTGAGAAAACACCAACAATTAGACCCTTTCAATTCACTGAATAAAACATTTCCAAGAGTTTTAGAAGGAAATTAGGTAGTTCTTCATTTTTTAAATTATAGGTTTTAAAATGTGCTTTTTCAGTGTTTTTAATGGATTGTTAAAGCTTTCCCTTCCATTTATATTCTACTGTCATGTTCCATTTAAGGAGCAATGCAGAGACATCAATCATCTCAACCTTGGTGCTGCAGCATCATAAGGTGCAAATGTTTCTCAGTGTATTAATATGGGAAATTTTCTCTTCATCAGTGTAATGGTGGGTATCTCCTGGGACATTAAACATGCTGAGGAACTTATTATTGTTCTTCTGTTTGGTCACTAAAGCAAGCTGGTTTTCCATATCCAGAGTTCTGATCTGTGGGACCTTCTCAAATAACTGTTGGAAAATGGGATCCAGCTCTTAGGTTTTACAGGACCAAAATGGATAGATCAGGATCAAAGCAGTTTTCAGAGTGGCTGCTTCTCAATCAGCGTTTTCAACTGCAAAAGAAATCTTTAAAATAAGCCATTAAAAGATCCAAAGAAGTTTCGCTGTGCCCCAACGTGAGAAGGCTCAGCCTCAGAAGGGTCAGCTTGTCATCACCTTCCGTGACATCACCAAACCCGGCAGCCTGGGGTGACATCATGGCACGTGGTGACAGCTGGGGACAATGGCAGGACTCACAGCTCCCCAGGGCAGCTCTCCCAGTTGCAGCTGGTGTCACTGGAAAATGTGTTTGTGTTTTACTCAAGTTCTCCCAGGAGATTTAAATAGCACAGGGCGCTAGAAAACACGCTGTAATATGTTGGTTTTTTTGAAGCGTTATTTATGGAAGAAAAAGAGCCAACGTTGTCACCAGGCTTCAGGTCCAAAAATATTAAATGTGATTTGAAACACTTAAGTAAAAAAAACCAAACAGACTGAAACAAAGCAAAACACAAAACAAACTGGTATCCTGTACAGAGCAGCAGAGAAAATCACAAAAACCCTCTGTAATGATGAGGAAAATGTGCCTAATTTTATTAGAGTAAAAGTAATCTGGTGCAGCAGCCCAGCACAGAAGTTCATCCCTTGATCTCAAATAACTTAAGAGGCATTATGCAGGCAACACAAATTGATTTATTTATTAAAACCCCCCAACAAACAGAGCAAAATATAATAGAGGTCTAGTTAATATTTAAATGAGATTGATGTTTGTTTTGTTGCAGGTTTTTTGGTTGCTTGGTTGGGGTGGTTTTTTTGAAGTTGCAGTCTGACTTATCTTAGGTTTTGACCTATATATTTCTTAAAGCATTTATTAAGATTATAATCTTCTGCTTAACTCAGTCAATCGTATTTGATCTTCTCAATCATATTCTCTCATCTCCTGAAAGCTTGGATATTTCTCTGTGGTTTGATTTCCACTGTGCACATTTGGGCTCCTGATAGGACTTTGTTGAGGTAGGAAAACCGGATGAGGAACTGGGGGAACAGAGAGGTGTGAGCCTGGTGCTAACATCTATCTTTACACTGTCCTTGTCTTCCTGATGGGTGTAACCAAGACCAGCACACGGCCAGGGCTTTAAAATTTTAAAATACTCCTTTTTAAAAAACCATCTGTATTACTTCCAGTGTCTCAGGCATGTTTCTGTTCTAGTAATTACATTATTCTATCTTCTTTCTTCTCTAAGGTTTTTCAACTATATCATGGCTTATTTTCTTAGCTTTAAATAGTGATTAATATCTAGTTTTAAAACTGCAGGTGTCACTGTAAAGTGTAGATACCTTCATGTTTAGCTTGAATATCTCCTCATATTCCCACTGGGAGTGACCCCACCCCTTGGAAAAGCAGTCTGGTTCTCTCAGCGGGTTTCCATCCATGCACCTCGTGAAAAATAGTTAGCAATTTTGTTTATACTTGTTTAATTTGGTAAAAACTGTTGATTTCATGTATCTAGTCATGGCACTGTTTTAATGTGTAGCTGGCTCCTTGGGGCAAGTGCGATGACCAAGTCAGTCACGATAATATTATATAGACACATATTCAATTGCATATAAATCACATATTATCTCCTCTCTTTAGTATAATGCTGTAAATAAGAACAGCAATTGAAAAAATTTATGGCTTCTCGATATGCCAACCCATCTCTATAAAATCATTAAACCTCCTTGTTATTATTTCTAGAAATTAATATCAAAAGAATGTTTAATATTTCTGACTAAAATAGCAGTGTTTTCATGTGAAGCCTAATGCACGGGATTTAAAATAACAGGAATATAATTTTTGTAACAGGGTTACCATAAGCAAGCCACACTACTGTTACATGTCAAACAGCCCAGAGAGCCCAGAGCAGAGAAACAGCACCATTTTGCTGAATTTTCAGTTGCAGTAAAATGTAACCTTCACAGATTCTGTGTTCCTTTTCCAAGAGGGGAGAAGAACTGATGAGGGAGTGTGAATATGTTAGTAGCCTAAATAGTATTCACCAAAACTCACACGGAGTTGATAATCGTATTTTAGTTCAATGCATCTTTTAGCTCAAAAGAGATGATTAGAGAGTCTGTTCTTCCTTTCTGTGCTATATAAACAAATTCTTAGCCTATCCCCCATCCTGCACGTGTTCCTGCACAGGATTAGCCCCAAGCCCGTGGGCAGTGCCACTGGCCATTCCAAGGGCCCTGCAGTTTGTCCTTCGGGTCATCAGGAGAAAGGGCTCTGGAGCACTCAGAGAACTGTTCACTGTAACAGTGAACAGAGAATATTTGACCCTTTGACGTGCACTATTGATTTAAATTCTTTTAAATGTTATCACCTGAGGTGAGAAATGGTGTGATCAAGTTAATTGCTGTAGCCAGAAAGTTCTCAGTTACCCAGGAGTGTGGCCACCGACCCACGAGGCTCCATCTGAGGATCTCTGCCCAGCTATTTCTGTGCCGTTACTAGTCAGGCTGTGAGCTGTCCCATTCCATGGAGATGGCCAAATCTGGCTGACTTTGTACACCATTATATATTTTTTTATTGATTATTTTACATTTACCAAATGTTTACAGGCACGAGCTATTTAAAATTCCTCACTCTTTTTACTTTTGTGACGTGGTGAGTGCTTTACAGTGTAAACAATTTTCTGTTAAACTTCTGTTAATTTAAATGTATTTCTCAGTAATTTTTCAGTAGGCTTGGTCATGTTCAATTTTTGCCCATACACCAACTCTGAATTACATGCCTAGAATATAACAAGTTGCCTCACTCTTTGTCTCTGCTGTGGGATTTATCAGGCACAGTTGCCTTTATTGGCTTTTTTCAGTTCCACAGAGGATGGGCAGGTCACAGAGCTCCTGTGTGTTTTCACGCTCTGGGGGGTGGAGATTTCAAACCAAAATCCTTCCATTTAGGCTGGTCAGTGCCTGGAGCAGGGACCTGGGTCCCAAGGCAGCTGAGTGCCAGGGAAAGCTCAGCTCCTGCCTCCTCTGAACTCCTCTGGCCAGAGGAAAGAATTTGAAGGGTGGGACAATTCAGACCCATTTGTTAGTCTAATGTTTCATGTAATAATGTAGGGCATTGTTTATTAGAAAATAGATCTCTCTGGTTTGTCCAGTCCTAGTTGACTTGCCTTCTGAAGCTGACTGGAATTAAATAAACGTCTCTAACTGATGCTGAGTTTTGAATAGGCCTCCACTTGTGAAAAATAGGGAGAAACTCCAGAACAGCTTCGATATAGAAATGTATTTCAGAGATTTCAGTGTACTATTACTGAAGTACAGGATTATAAGGTAAGGTAAGGTAAGGTAATGGCCAGTCTTCGCGAGCGAAGATTTGGGAAAGGTCATTAACCCTTCGAGCCTGCGCAGTGGATTTTTTAGGTGAGACACAGCGTGCGCTGAACTGAGCCCACCCTTTAATCCTGAGGTTCAGCTGCCGGGGCCAAGCAAACTTGGACAGTGGCAGTGAGGGTCTCAGAACGTAGGTTTGTTTAGAGTGACCTTCTCTTAGATGGATTGCCTCACAGGGCTAACGAGCTCCATCTGCCCGGGGGGCTGGGAATCGAACCCGGGTCGCAGCGGTGAGAGTCCTGCACCCTAACCACTAGACCACCAGAGGCCCCAGTACAGGATTATAGACTGAAAATAATCACTGAGACTAGACTTCTCGTTGTTCCTGTTTGTGCTGAAGCGTAAGATGATTTGCATTTCTGTAAAATTACTGAAGTGTTGCTGAGGAGCAATAGAACATTAAAGTGCTAATGGGGGGAAGGAGAATTCCTCTGGTATTTATGTGCTTATGTCTGTAAAGAGACATTTGAATATATCCTTAGTATTTAAGAAGACGCAGATTGTGAAGAGCTTTGGAGTTTCTTTTAGCAATGTAAAGACTGGCTTGTTGAAATTCCTTTAAAACCTTAACAGAAGTTGTGTGTGATAACCATCCTTATTTACCGTAGATTTTTCTCAGTAGATCCTGTGAGGGGATCTACTGATATAGCTTGAATGATTGAATTTTCTTTTGAAAGCATGTAGCCATTCATAAAGATTTTCTGTTCCAGCAAGTGTAAAAGTGCAAATAATATAAAACAATATTCAGTGAAAAATGAGAGGTGAAACTGCCTGGAAAACAAACCAACCAACCAACCAAACCACCCCACTAATGCACACTCACACACGTAAATATCGAGAGACTATTTTTTGTGTATTCCAGAAACAGGTAGATCATGATTATTTTAACATCAGTGAGAGTTCAACAGTGACTTGAAGGGGACCAAGATGCATCTTCTTAAAGTGCATTAATGAATATATCCACCTGTTGGAGCTGAACAAATAATGGAAAAATCCTGTGAGATTCTGAATGATTGTGTTTTTGGGTGCTCCCACTTGGTGTTTGCTTCCCTAGCAACTTTCATAAAAATGGAGTTTGGTTTATATTAATATGAGGGAAGGACTCCTGCAAATATCCCTATTCACTGTGAACATAGGGCCTTGCTCTTTCAGCCTCTTTCCAAGTCATCTTTAAGCAATTGTGAATAATAAAATTGTCATCAAAATATCATTATTTGACAAACAGCTCCTGAATGTCAGAACAGCCTTCTGCTTTTTTCTTTTGCATTTTTTTTAAACCCTCCTTTGATTTATTCTGTGTAGTTCACCCAGGTCTAACTGGGTCTTTTTCAGCTTCCAGCATTTTAAGCTAAGCTAGTCATATACAGAGGTTATGACCATTGAATTTCAAAAGAGCAGAGTGATTCCATGTACCTTTATTTGTTTGATTTCATACCGGATCATTTTGTGGGTATCAAGGGGATCATCACTGGCAGGAACCACCTTTTCACTGGATATTTTTGCTCGAATCACTGTAATAGAGAGAAAGATTTAAATGCAAATAAGCACGTGCCTCATTTTGCAAGCAAAACCAAAAATTATCTTGATAGATTTTAGCATTGTTTTGACACTTTAGCTAGAATTAAGGCTCTTACTATAAGATCACTACCTTAAGTTAACTCCTGAAAATAAAAATAAATGGGCTGCCTGTGATGTAAATCTGAATTCCCATGAATCTGGAAATCTGATTGATGTTGCCACTCAGTTTTGACAAAAACTGTCCATCAAAATCTTTGAAAGACTTGAATCCCATAGAATGTTACAAAATACCCATCATTATAATCAGTGTGGAAAGGGACACTGATGACAGAAGAATTGTTGATCAATTAAATAGACTTGAAGTAACACTGAAAGCCTGTGCCAGACAAAATGAAAGCATTGATTTTATGCATAAAATCAGAAGTCGAGAATAGACTTTCATTTGCTTTTCTGAAGCTTAACAAAGCACATCATCAGTTGTGTAAACCTGTATAAATCAATTCCTCCCTCTTTTAACACACTTTATTTCCTGTTCTTTAATCAAGGAAAGTATGAGATTTAATGGAAGAAGAAATTGATTGTTCTCCTCTCTTTGTTTGGGGCATCTCTCTTGTGTATGATGTTTAAAATATGCCAGGACTATTAGGCACAGTGAATAACGAGGTTCTAAGAATATGGTATATGTCCAAAATCCCACTGGGGACTTCTATCCCCCAAAATTATTGAGCATCCTATTTTTGCTCTGTTCTGGGTGGCGACTCCTGCAGCTCCTCTGCAGGTGAGGGGCTTGTAAAACAAACAATCTGTGCCTGCATGGACAGACACTGGCAAAGGCCAGAGTAGAGGAAAATTTTTGTGACATCGAAATCATGCTTTTCCAAAAAAACCCCAACCATTTCTTTGATAGATTGACCTCATATTTATCATATCTAAAGGAAAAGAATAAAAAACACAGATTGAAACCCAGCCAGGCAGAGGTCAGTCCCACCTCATCACGGGCAATTCTCATTTCCTCGCTCATTAGCAGAGCAAAGTCAATGTAATAACCAACGTGATACAGATACCTCCAGCTTCAAAGCTCAGGTCCTCTATCTTTTGGCACAGTCATCCCTCCTCCCAAGCCATTTAAACTCTTTTTAAGGAGCATTTGAGACTTATGGATTGGAAGGAAAGAGTTCTTTTAAATCTGAGCAGCAAATTCCTCATTTCACATGGTAAGTGGCAGCGTCTCTTTAATCATCTGCAGATGTGCTGTGTTCCCACAAATTAACAGTGTGTCTTCAGAGCTTTGATCTAATTCCAGAGGAAAAGTGTTGTGGATTGTGTGTACTACACTGCTGGCAAGGACAAATTAGAATCATGTTTTGTTTTCTTTCCATCATTACTGCTTTAAAAAAGATTTTCTCATTAAAGAGTCTGTTCAATATTGAAGGTAAGGCCTGAGAAAACAGGATTGAGCTCCATTATTTTCCCAGTACCATAACATGGTTTATATGCAGGAAATCTTTTCCTGCCTACTCAATGCAAACATTTTTAGGATAATTAAAACTACGTTCCCCCTTGTGTTTGATGTTGAAACAGTAGTTTTCCTATTTTTATTAAATTCTACTTGTTAGCATCTGAGAGGAACATTACAGATGATCACTGGTAGCTGCAGTGGTCCTCATGGAGTTGTGAGAAGCTGAAACCAACATTCTGGGGGTTGTCATTAAGAGATCTCTTACTGGATGTGTAGAAGAAAATGAAAAGTATTTTTGTGTTGTGTGTGTTTCATTCATTTGTTTAAGAGAAAGCTTCCAGATGGCAAAGGAAAACCAAATTGCGCTTTGGATTTTTTTTTTAACAGTAAGAAAGTTTTATTATTACAGGATGTCTAAATTTCTAGTTATTTGGATTTTACTCTTCTGTTCTCCTGAAACCAGATTCAGATTCACACAGATCTTTTGGGGCCTTTTAATCCTGCTTGGTTTTCTTTTTTTCTGTGCATTAATATTTTTTTTCAATCGATGTCGTCTAGCTGTCTCCTGAAACCTCTGATTCATGTGGTTGCTTCTGTTTTTAACCACAAGCACTTCCTGATGGAGCATTCCTGGGCCTGGCCATCTCCCTCTCCTCACTCGTGGTCCAGAGGGTGGTCAGGACTCAGGATTCCTCTGAGTCTGCACTTCTTTTCAAGACATGGTTTCAAGTATTCCGTGGCTGTCTTGGCTTCTCCTCTGTGTGAATGAGAACAGCCTCTGGTTGTTTAGTGTAATAATATCATTTTATCTGTCAGGCAGTTATTGGTTCCTTATGAGGAATTTGCATATATGGAACACATATGCATAGCCTTGATATTCCAATTCCAGTAATCCCGTCGGCCTCAGATTTGTTCTGCACTGAAAATACAGACTGTTTTGCAAAAGACTTCACCTTGATATTTCAGTAGGGGGATGTAGCTTTTCCGTGGAATTCATATGCTGTAAATCAACTTTGATAAAATTTAAACTTTTCTGCCTACTTTATGGTTGCTGGTTGTTGCGGGGAACCGAACTGAGAGGGCGTTAATGTGAGTTACAGGAGACCAGTGCTCTGTTTAGTAAATCAGCTTGGCTCTTGGGCAGTCAGTGTTACAGGTGTGTTAGGAATATATTTATTCCTTCTTTCCTCAGTAATAATAAACCTCTTCCAGCCATTTCTACATGCATGAAAGGTCATTTTGAACTTACTAGGTATAACATCAGATATATTTGTGTTTAATACAGCTAGGAGAAAAGGGTTGAGGTTTATACAATCCAAAATTGTTTATATATAATAAGAACAGAAAGATATTAAGTGCATCTTTCCTAAAGCTGGGTGATTTCCCTCTGAAATAAGCTACACTAATTAATACCTGTAAATAAACGGCACCATCACTTTGTGTGTTAGAGATTTCTATGATCATGAGGAAGTACTTACACTAAGGGCTTTTTTATAAGAAGTTCACTGCTACGAGACTGATTTTACCCCACTACAGAGGCAAACACAAGGAAATACGATTCAAGAGAAAAGAGACAAAGAACTGGGGAGCCCATTCCAAGGCACAGATAGAGCTGGAATCTGAACAGAGCAAATACTTGCACTTTGTGCACTGAAATTCATATGTTTCCTAAAAGTAGTATCTTTTTAGACTGTTGAGTTATTTCTAAGGCAGTAACAGAGGGAAACCTCTTGATTGAAGAATTACTCTCATTGTTACAAGTTAGAATTATGAAATAATATGTTCTGTATTATAATATTTTATATAGTATTACCGTACTTAAACAAGTGGTAAGATTATGTCACTTAACCTTCTGGTCGCAGTCCCAGTGTTTGAAGACAGGCAACTTTGCTCAACTAAAGTAATCATTTATATATTGGGATAAACTACTTGGAAATACCTAAAGCCTGCAGTACAGTGGTGGTGCCACAAGGTTACGTTGCAGCCAGAACAAAACTCAGCCAAGAGTTGTCTATTAACAAATCCTCACAAGCAAAGGACAGGGGATTGCCTTCAGGTGTTTAGTGTAGGATTAAAAAAAAAAGAAGGAATTTTATTAACACCCTGTCACTTGTTGTACACAATACTAAAATCTGTGTATTCTGTAAGGGAAGACTGGGGACATATCGGATAATGAGATTTCCAGCAGTGCCCATCTTCAGTCTGGGAGGTGAATTAATGGAGAGGATTCAGTGTGAGACCAGAGAGGAACCTTGAATTCCCAGGAGGAACTGTAATTAATTCCTTCTTGTCACAAAATAGCTGCTCCAGGTGCAATGCCTGTATTCAGCATTACCTGGCCACCATGTCTGGAGGCAGATCAGATTTGCCTCCAGTTTAACTCAGGCATCTCTCACTGGCCAAAAATTTAAATGTGAACAACCAGAAAGAAAACTAACTAAAAGTCTGTGGGCAAAACTGGCCTCGTCTACTGTATTCACCTTAAGTCAAGTTATGGTAAAATAATGCAAAGAGCCCAAGAAAAACTCCATAGAGAAGGTGTAGCCACACTATTTCATTGACCTCATTTGCATCTAGAGGCCATAGGTACTGTACCCTCTATATTATGGTCCAGTCTTAAATGCTCTTGCTCTCTTGAAGAAGAATACTGGCAAGAAATGCTCTCAGAGCTGCCAAGGAACCTGAGAACACAATGTGGAATACTTGTGTTTCATGAGTACAGAGATATGACCAAAGAAATTTATTCTTCAGATAGGGAACTAGACTTTCCTGCAGAGAGGGGAAAGAGTCAGCAGGCAAGGAGAATGAATGATCAACCTCAAAAAAGAACAGGAATCTGCACAGGATTTGTGACAACAGACAAAAATTAATGAACCCACTTAAAGCAATACTGCACAAGATAGAATAGATAAAAATCTTGGATAGAATTCTAAGTAAAATATGGTCTATTGGCCGCTGATTTGTATTGCCTAAAAAATCCCAAAATAGACAAGAAGTTGTAGGAGTCTTCTGTAATTTAGAGCAACTGTCCCATGTGTACAGCATTACCACTCTCCATTTCTCTGCCATCTATTTGACTCAGTTGTTCACACTTCCTTGCCACATTTACTTATGGTAAAGCTTTGAGTCTCACCAATGAAGAAAGCAAATTAACCTGCTTAAATATTCATGTACTATGTATTCATGGATATGGAAAATATTATAATTTCTCAAAATACGTATGAAATGAAGAAAGGAGCACTGGCGATACAGAAGGAGCATCGTAACTGCTTGAAACTCATAGGTATCACTAATGCTTCCAAAAGAAGGCAATTTGTCCAAAAGGAGACAAAAGTTATGGACTGATTGACATTAAAATAAGTCATTTAATACCCAATATAATAATGGCCAGTCTTTGCGAGCGAAGATTTGGGAAAGGTCATTGACCCTTCGAGCCTGCGCAGTGGATTTTTTAGGTGAGACACAGCGTGCGCTGAACTGAGCCCACCCTTTAATCCTGAGGTTCATCTGCCGGGGCCGAGCAAACTTGGACAG